TCGAGTTTGATGAATTGTTTTTTATTGCTTTACTAGGTACGCTACATGCTACAAATATTAAAAATTCAATTTCATATGAGGTCAATTTCAATATCAACCGATCCCCACTACTCACTTCACCTACAACACCTACATCGCAAAATGTTTTTATAAAAAAACCAAAAGTATTTAATTATCGTTATAGTGTACTCGCCTAACTTGACAATAATGTTGATAACAACGATATACACGAACTATCCAGTCAGGAACCCACGAATTAGTTCGCATACACAACCGTGAAGAACTTATTGTTGCCACMCATTTTTATTAAAGGAGTAAAAAATTTCACAGATGTACTCACCAAACCACACGCCTAATATTAGGTGCAACTATTTGTACTGAAGACTTCAGAACTCTAATACGTTCCCTAAATGAAAACCATGCAGGGTTCCACACATATCAGCTCCAATCTGAAAAATTGTATAGAGTTGTTGTAAGGACTGTCGGTTTCGCGACTAGACAAGTCACAAACATTATACACCATCTAMTTAAAGTCCCTATCATATTGGTTTTTGTTGATCTTGAGCCGGGACCTTGCAACCAAGATTTATTTAATATCCCGTCACTCTTGCACACAAAAATCAAGGTTGAAAAACTAAAAAAAAACGTGTGATCCTCTAGTGTTTAAACTGTCAATTATATGGCCACATCCGGGCATTCTGTTCTTATGCCCCACGCTGCGTAAAACGTGCCAAAAACCACCACATCTCAACATGTGACAAAGCACCAGATACTCCTGCCACCTGTGCCCTATGTTGTGGGAATTTATCCAGCCAACTATAAAGAATGCACCATACATAAAGAACTTCAAAGCCGTCACCGTCAACCACCCACCACTACCAAACTCAATTTACATTATCAACTACACCAGCCCACTCACCATCCAGCCCGAGCAAATCTAACCTATGCAAATGTTACAGGTAACGACACCACACATAGCACACCACTTCCTGTCATTGAAAATAATGGTCTGTCAAATATTGTAAACGAATTTAAACACTTCATTAATCCCCTGATCTCTCTCCTTAATCCCTTAATAACTAAAMTTCTTGCCAACCAACAAATCCCTTATTAGTATACTTAAATAATACACACTATACTAAATAATTTCTTCTTACTCAAACTTAGTAMAGTAAAGGTCTAGCCACAATCGAGTTGTCCCCGGAATATATTTAAAATGACACCCACATATTATATATTGTATTATAATAATGATTAATCACTGACCAAAAAAAAAAAAAAATGATTGTTTGGAAATAAGATAGGAGTTTAAAATATTATGATTTTGGATGTCTTAAATTTTTCATACAAATGAAATTTTAATAATTTACAAAGGCGATTGACATCTGTATAATATAATATAAATACAATATTTAAATTGACTTTTTAAAATTTATTGATAAAACTGTACAATATGACAATTAATACTGCGACAATAATATTTTCAACATTTATTTCGATGATATAATGTAGGTACACTGTATAATTTGATTTTGTTAATCATTTTTTACTCGTGTTTAAATATAAAAATAAATATAAATACACTAATACACGATATGAAGTATCCTAATTATTATACAAACATTAAAATAAAATTTAATATAATGGTGGTAATTTAAACACTGTTTTTCCATTTCTTTCGTCCACACATGGCACACGAAGTATATTGAAGTATAATGTTCCCATGAGATCTCCTGTCGAATGATTTGCCTTTTTCAGACAATTGTAAAACGTTTTGTCACAAATGCAATGTGATCTGTAAAAAAAGTAATATATGGATCATGTTATATGATTTTTTTTAAATAAACAATATACTTAATGGATACTACTTATATGAAATTATTGATAATTCTAATTTGATAATCGATATAGCCGATATAGGTATTATTGAAWAGTATATTGTAATCATCCGTAGTGGTGTACAACACACAAACACACACGTGAAAGTGTATCCCCAGGTATATATATTTTTAWTACTATTTATATAGATGTTTACAGACTAATAAAATAAAAAAAWAAATTTTATTTAATACGTACTTATAGGTACATATAGTTTTTTTTTTTATACAACCCGAAAAATGTCCCATAATATTAGTATGTTACTTTTATTATTTTTTAGATTGTGCAACATTTTTATACTAAAAATATGTCAGATATCTACATAAATATGACATATTTGATACCTATGTATATTATTTGATCAATAATAATAATATTTAATAATAAAATAAATATATTTACTAACTAAAGTTTATTTTATTGAGGTACATTAATATATTTGGTAATACCTTAAACAACTGTTACTACAAATCGCAATATAAAATACCAGCATACAATTGAAAATATAAAATTAAATGCCTTGTGTGTAATTTGGTAAAATCAATATAATCATATTTTGTATTTAAATCATAATGGTAGTACTTACTTTGTGTACATGGAATCGTTGGTGATGTTATACCTAGTAGCATATGATCTGACTTTAGATGGGCAAAGATCATGCGTTCTACAACACATATCCAGTTTGACCTCTGATCCCAAATCGAAGTACGTTGTAGCCAGATCCCCACTGCCACACCATTTTGTGCCTATAAACAAATACATAAGCTTAAGTCGATCTTGGTTTAAAATGTTTATATATTAAATTAAATTGTTTAATAATTTACAATTTCGTCTAGAAATAGATTATTATAAAACTTTATTATTAACTATAGAACATTTTTTTAGATTCTGAGCGAAGCGATGAATGTATTGACTTTACCATGATGTGTGTGTTTTT